ACAACCATGAGTGTAGGATCGAAAGAGCCTCGGGTGAGCAGCATACCTGTCTGTCTGGATCTACTTCCAGCTCCACTGCTCCCTGGCTATGAGGCTGATTGCAGGAAATTCCCTTCCCCTCCATGGGCTTCAGTTTGCTATTTGTAAGTAATGTTGGCCAGACAAGTCCTGAGGTTCCCCATTCAAGCCCAGCTGCTGAGATCTTGATGACTTAGAACCCACACCTTGCTTCTTAACATTCTACTGTGACTATCCAATGGACAGGCAGTCAGGTGCTGGTGCACATGCCTGTAATCCTAGCTACTAGGAAGGGAGAGATTTGAAGATCAAGGTTTGAAGCGCACAAATCTGAGAGATTGGGTTGTTTTTTGTTTTTGTCTTTTTCCAACTGAGACCATGATTCTGAACTCTTGATCGAATGCCTTCATTCACTGGCTGATGCACTACTGACTAAGCCCCACCTCCAACCCCTGAAAGACTCATTTTCTCCTCCAGTTCCCAGCAAAAAGTTACAAGTGGAGCGTGGCTCAAGTGGTAGAGTCTTGTGCAAAAAAGCCAAGAAGGGGATCATTGTCCACAAAGAAATGGACTCATTACCTGACTTATGTAACTGCGTAACTCCTCTGGAATCACCTTCATAATAACAATTTTTATTTATTTAGTTAGTTAGTTAACCAGTCCTGGGGTTCGAACTCAGGACCTGGGCACCATCCCTAAGTACTTTTGCTCAAGGCCAGTACTCTACCACTTGAGCCATAGCACCACTTCTGGCTTTTTCTGTTTATGTGGTCCTGAGGAATTGAACCCAGGGCTTTATGAATGCTAGGCAAGCACTCTGCCACTAAGCCACATGCCCAGCTCATAACAATTTTTTTAAGCCAAATAAGTAAAAAGTGTGAGGCTCTGAGTTCAAGCCTTAGTATTAGCATACTGGCACACATACACACACACACACACACACACACACACTCAAATTAACACAAAAAATAGGAAGTGTTAGAGAAGATATGGAGAAATCTGAATCCTCATGCATTGTGGGTAAGAAAGTAAAATGCATGGCCTTGGTGGAAAACTATATAGTGGATTCCTCATAGTTAAACACAGAATTATCCTATGTCCAGCAAAGAAACCATTTGTGCACCTATGTTCACAGCAGCATTATTCATCATAGCCCAAAGGAAAAACAGCTCAAGCATCCATTTCCAGATAAGCTGATAAGGAATATTAACCAGCCTGTAAAAGGAAGGAATTTCTGACCCAGGCTACCACATGGATGAACCTGTAACAGCTCAGGCAAGTGAAACATGCCAGTCACTGAAGGATAAATGACTCCATTTCTGTGAAATTCAGAGTATTCAAATTCATAAAGACAAAAAGTAGAAAATTCATTGCTGAGAGTTGGGGCTAGAAAGATGGGGGGGGGTTCATGTTTAAGGAATTCAGAGTTTCAGTTGGGGAAGAATGAAAAGTAGTGGGCAGCCACACAACAGCACAAAGTTACCAGAAGTCTATACCTAACAATGGCTAAGAAAGCAAGTTCATGTGAAGCTTCACAAGTTTAAAAGACATCAGTGGCTCACGCCTGTAATCCTAGCTACTCAGGAGGCTGAGATCTGAGGATCACAGTTTGAGGCCAGCCTGGGCAAGAGAGTCCCTGAGACTCTTATCTCCAATTAACCAGCAAAAATAAAAAAAATCACAAGTGGAGCTATGGGGCAAGTGGTAGAGCGCCAGCCTTGAGTGAAAAAGCTAAGGGACAGTACCTAGGTCCTAAGTTCAAGGCCCAGTACCAATATTAGAGAGCGAGGGGGTGAGGTGGGGGGAGGGAGGGAGGGGTTGGACTTGGTGGTGGCTCAGCCAAGCCCTGTTGTCATCTGGCAGGAGCCCGGCTCGGAGAGGGGCTTAGCAGACTGTGGGTGGTGTATGCTAAGCAGGGATCCTGTCCCCCACTTCCTCCGGTGCACATGAATGTATCAGGCCTGGTTGGGGGGGGGCTCTAAGAGAATATAGAGAATGGGAGGTGGATGGGGGTGGGAGGGATGTATCCTCACTAAGGTCAACTCCACGGTTTCTGGGGGTCCTGAGACCAAACCCGAAATCCTGTCTAACCAAGGCCCACGAGGGCAGAAGAAGCAGAACCAGGAAACACACTAATTAAATAATACAATGAAAGCTTAAATTTTCCAAGTTAATTCCTGGGTATCATTTATAAAAGTTAACAGGGCATATTTAATTTAGGAATTGGCTCCCGTCCCCCTTACAGCTCAAACCTCATAAATGAAATATACTGGATCGTTGCCCGGGACGGAAATAAAAGTTATGAATAATGTTTCCATCTCAATCATTGTCAGCATTTTAATATCCCTAATTACTTTAAAAAGCTAGATATTCAATATACGAAACTTTTTTTTTTGCCTTTTTATCTCCACTTGTGAGATGAGAGCAATTTAATAAGAGTCACTCTCATCTTTATTCAGTATAAACTGACATTTCATCCTTTTTACTCTTTATTATTCTATGGGATGGAGGAAGGTTTACGACCAAACATACAACTATTCCATTTTCCCATATTGCGCAGGGAAAAAGCTCAGAACTATCCACAAAGCCAGTATATCCTGCCTTTATTGAACAGAAAGCAATCAGTCACAGCCTTAAAGAAATTAGGCTACAGGATTTAAGGGTGTTGATTAGTTTCGTTTTGTCAGTTGTGGGGCTTGAACTCAGGGCCTGAGTGCTGTCCCTGAGCTTTTTCACTCAGACTAGTGCTCTACCACTTTGAGCCCCAGCACCACTTCCGGCTTTCTAGTGATTATTTGGAGATAAGAATCTCACAAACTTTCCTGCCTGGGCTGGCTTCAAACCAAGATCCTCAGATCTGGGCCTCCTAAGTCGTGACAATTATAGGAATGAGCCACTGGCACCTGGCTTGGGATTTCTGTCTTTAAAAGAACAGAAAGTCCCCTTTCCCTTCCCCCATAGTCATTTATCCCCTTTACTTAGGACTGTCCAAGTTATAAATCCGTTGGCAGCTACAAAGGGCAGGGCAGGCAGGTAACGGGATGATAGATCCTTCCACTTCCAGGAATTTATCCTCAGGAGAAACTGGATCAAGCAAGGAAAGATGTATGCAGAAGAAGAATGACTGATGCATTTTTCACTCAGGGTCACTGGCTCCCCCTTCCCACATCTGTAACCCAAAAGTTGTGGAAAAGTCCAAAAAAGATATCTGTGCCATTTAGGAAGTAAATCTGCAGGGACAGCTGTGGGGCTATGTACTGTCATTGTGTCACTACACATCATCCCATGCCACTTGAAAATACTACTGCTTTACCCCTGGGGCAGCCCAGATCTTCGTTACTGTTTCCACGTGCACTTTGAACTGTGACACATCCCAAATTCCAAAAGCCACAGACCCCCAGAGTCTTGGATAAAGGATGATATGGGCTCATAAGGGGGAAGACTCAGCCGGATGCCTGTAATCCTAGCCACTCAGGAGGCTGAGATCCGAGGGTTGTAGCAGCCTTCAGTGAAAAAGCTAAGAGACAGGGCCAAGGCTCTGTGTTCAAACCTCAGTGCTGGCAATATAATAATAACAACTACAACAATAATAGGGAAGACTCAGAAACAACCTAAATGCTCACCAACCAAGAGTTAGTGAAATATATTTGGTAATCTACAAAATGAAATTCTCCAGGCCATGAAATACTTAAAGGAGATTAAAGTGCATTGATGAGAAAACTGAGAAACTAGTTATGGCAAGCATGTCTACTCCAAAGCCAGCTCCTTTTGAACTGTGCAGAGCAATGACAGAAGACCAAAGACCCAAGGCCACAGGGATCATCCGTCGGTAAGAAGGATCCTCAACGTTTTGTCTATACTCTTGGTATTCTTTGACTTTTCTTTTTAACATGAACAGGTATAACTTAAGAATCAAAGAAGCTGAGTATGGTGATTCACTCCTGTAATCCTAGTTACTCAGGAGGCTGAGAGCTGAGGATCAGGATTCAGAGCCTGCCCGGAAAGTAAAGTCTGTGAGACTTAGTGTCTCCAATTAATCACCAGAAAACTGGAAGTGGAGCTGTGGCTCGAGTGGTAGAGTGGTAGCCTTGAGCAAAAAGAGCTCAGGGACAGCTCCCAGGCCCTGAGGTCAAGCCCCATGACTGACAAAAAGAAAACAAGAACTCAGAAGAGAAAGGTTTGGAAGGGAAATAATGGTGGTCCTTTTATTTTGCTTTGCTTTGTGTTCTAGTGCTTCTAGGGATTGAACTCACCCCCTTGTTTGCTAGTTCTACCATTTGAGCCACTCTTCTAGCCCATAAGTTCAGTCCTAGGACTTGAATGGCACCCTCTGATACCTTTGAAACAGGCCAGAACTTACCTGCACAAAGGAGTCAAACCTGAGAATATTTGGAGAAAATAAGCTAGAGAAAAAGGATTTGGCAAAGAATTCTCAGCAGCTACCAGCTGGTCCCTCACGATCACCAGCCCCATAGTAAAGATGCCACCCCCTGACTCAGTCCAGAGTAGATGCCCCCCCACCCTCAACATACGCATACCTGCGCTCACCAGCAAGTCTCCTTTGGAGAACATGAGCCAGTCATGCCCAGAGATGTAGGGATGCAGCACCCTGTCCCCAGAAGTGTCCCACTCTCTTGGCTTGGGGGGACAGCAGTCCCCCTTGGGCCTCTATGGGTGAAACTGACCAAAGAACCAGACCTACCCACAATAACCTTCAGTTCCAAGCCAGGGGTGGTATTGTCAAGTTCACGGTCAACTCACAAAGACCCGATCGACATGTCTGCCAGCGGAAATCCCACAATTCCCATGAACCATTCACCTATACCCATCCCCACCCGTGTACTGCAAGTACTATCGCACAGGGCCCAAAGGTGGCCATGATAGGTCAATGTGTATGTCACAATCCCTGCCAAGTCAGAGCCAGTGGTCCATGGACCACCCCCCTCTCCCCACTCCCAAAGAATCCAGTCCCCCAAACTCACCACTGGAGCAGTCGGGACCTCCCCAGCCTGGTTCACAGCGGCAGGTATCCGGCGAAACGCAGCGGCCATGCATGCACTCGTCCGTGCACAGGGCTAAGGAAGGGGAGGTAGGGAGGGCAGGAGGAAGAGACAGAGCCAACAGTGAGAACAAACCATTTGGGCAGCAAGAAGATCCCCCTTTTTTTATTACAGATCCCCTTCTTGCTAAAGCTGATCAGGACCCAAGGCCTGTGTGGGTGTGGGAGGAGGTATGTGAAACTCAATTCACTCTGAAATAGATCTGATAAGAATGGATTACAAAGCTGGGTGACTCAC